AAACCTTAAAAACCTAACTCCTAAGCACAAGACCCGGCCCACCGAGCCTCTCCCATCCAGGTGGCCCAGGTCGTCAGACTCCCACAGAGCCCAGAAGCCAAGCCAGTGGCCAAATGCCTTGTTTCAGGGCTTAGGGGCTTAGGGTTTAGGGTTAGGGGTTTCTCTGTTGTTGTCAGGCTTCTTCGGCTTTATAGACTCTAGGATTTGCTTTAGGGGGGGCGAGTGAAGAGCTGGTTTCTCAAAATTCTGGCGCTGACGCAGAACCTATACGTCCCGGTATACAAGCCCTAACCGCCCAGGTACCTACTATATAGGGTACTAGAGCCCCTGGGCCCCTATATAGTAGGTACCTGAGGGGTTAGGGAAGGATATGACATATTCGGGGGCCATAGGCCAGTGTCGACAGTATTTTGGTCGTAGAAGACTTTCTAACCAGCCACTTTAGGCGAACGCCGCTATTGTACAATCCTTTTCTGGGTTAACTCATATCCTTTTTTTGGGTTATCTCGTAGGATCCTAAATATAAGACTGGCTAAAGCAAAAAAGCGGAACTCCGATGAACTCTGAGGAGTCGAACTTAAGTGGTTGTCGAGCCCCTGGGCCTAGAAAGCGTCATACTTGTTCATTGTTCCCTAAGGGTCCAAGCAATCCTTGTTTATGGTTGTTGGTACCCAAAATGGACCCAAGTCCCCACAATGAGGAGTAGTTTGACCGTTAGGGCATGGTGGATAATGAATTGTCCAAGGAGCTGGTTCATCGCTTTCTTGTGCCTGCAGGAGCTTTCAGTTATCCTTTCCGCAGGTTCAGGGATCTAGGCCCGAGGCTGCATGGCTGTAAGTTTTCGGCGAAGGTGGAAGGCAAGAACACCGCTCTATGCCTCCGAAAGCTTAATCGCACGCTACAGCGTCTGACTGCATGCGCAACTCAAGGTGTTTAGGTTTGCAATCCAAATGAAATGGGTTGAACAGGGCTACCACGTGTCGTCTCGTATACAGGTGTTGCTATGGAAGGTGCTCTAGGTTCAACGTAGCTAGGTGTTGCTACAGACGATGGTCTGGGTTCAGGGCTGAGGGATCAAGGTTGATCACGCTCAAAGTTTAAGCAGCTCGAGTTTCGGCCGGCGCATGGTGGGTCTTAGGAGGTCAACTTGGGTTCGAAGGTGCCGCACATGCTGGCGGTTTAGGGCTGCGGGTTAGGTAAATAACTGCGCTTGCACTCTCCTGCACCACGGACCATGAAGTCAGAGTGCAAATTCCGACTATACGAAGTCCGGCAGCCTCGCGACCGTGGCCATCAAGATGCATCCCAACACATTCCTTCGCATGTGTTGACATTCTTCGGTCTATGTTAAACTGCGCTGTAAACAGGGACATCTGTCAGCGGAGTCAGGGTTTGGTGATTGCCTCTGCTCTTGCGCTGTTTATGGCTTGTCGGCTTCTTCCAATGTCCTAAACCCCGAACGTTCGGCCCAACTCGGGCACTCTTGGGAACAAGATGACAAATGATTCAGACCCTACCTATAGGCTCCATTGTATTTCTGTTTTGGCTTAGGCAGTTATATGTTTAGGATGCAATAAAGGCAAAGCCCAAAAAGACAGTACAATGGAGACTACCTGGAGCAGCCAAGCTACCTGAAACAGGAAATGTGCTATTCGTTAGGGTCCTATCCGGTCATACACTTCTTTTAACGGAAAAGTGGCTACTATAGGTATAGCATGGTATAGCTATACTAACTTCAGTGGCCTTGGCCAACACTAAGTCTATTGCTGGCATTGCGCGTGCAGATATTGAGGCCAAAAGACTTCCCTGATGTCGTGGCTCTGTAGAACCCTCCTAGAACCTCTTCAGAGCCCCCACAGAGATACCTACTGACCTAAACCCTAAACCCTAAACCCCACAGAGATACCTACTGACCTACTCGAATGTATCGAGTTGGGGGATTTTGTTGTGGGGGAGCCTCTTGCAACCAAGTCGCTGGAAGAAGTAGCCAGACGCCGTGCTTCGCTTGTAGCCTCAGTCGCGAAGACGCAGAAATCCTGCATTTTGGGTGTTGGGCTTAGGGTTTAGGGTTTTGGGTTTAGGGTTTACGGGTTACACTATACCAAGCTCGGACTCTTGTCCCGAACTAAGGGACGGGCATCGATGTGAGAAGACCCGAAATGGTCCTGTCGGCCGTTTCCTACTCGTAGCCAGCTCATGCCAAGAAGATCACACGCGGCTAGCCTAAGTGTGCAAATGGTTGGAGTGTAACATAGGGGTCTTGGCAGTTGGAACAGAGTTTTGATATTAAGGAACACGATTCTCACCATCACCTATAGACACCATTGCAGTTCCTTTTTGGGATTACCTAACAGGATCCTAAACATAAGCCACAACAAGGAAATTACAGTGGAGCCTATAGCGGTTGAAGGCGTTTAGGTCTCGGGGCATTGAGTCCCAAACCCAGAGGGCTTTAGCGCTAGCCTGCTGTTCCTCGACAAGAGCTTAGGTTTAAGGGGGGTTTAGGGTCTAGGGTTGAGGGGGATCTAAACTGAGGCGAAGCTAGGGTCATATACATGTCGAGGGGGATCTAAACTGAGGCGAAGCTAGGGTCATATACATGTCGGACCAATAAGTAAATATTACTTCTTCGGGCTCCTTGGTACAACTATAGTATAATGTATCCTCAGAACCTACCGGGCCCCTGTATAGCCCACGGTTTGAAGTCCAAGTGCACTTAGGTACCTCGGCTACACCCCATGACTACCTCACCATGTTCCCTGAAAGCACAGAGGCCAAGCCATAAGGCACGTGGATCTCGTGTTCAAATTGCCACACCGTAGATCAAAATCCCAAATGCCAAGAGCTTACATTGTTGCACAAGGTACGTCGACCCCGTCACCTAAGCAGGATCTCTGGTACAAGGACTCTTCTCAAGTATCTCTACCTTTTCTGACACCCCCGTGTTCTCGCAATGAACTAAATACAGGCTACACTTTCAGATGAACTTTGAGTGAGCACCGGGGAAAAAGTTGCAACCCTGAACCCGGAGCCCTCCGCCCTAAATGTAACCCCTAGGCTTTGGGGTCTAGAGTTTAGGGCTTAGGGTTTAGGGCTTAGGGTGGGTTTAGGGTCTAGAGTTTACAGCTTAGGGTTTAGGGTTTCGAGTCTAGCTCCTAGATCCTCAACCCGCGCTCTCAATCCAAAATCTCGGCCTAAGCCCCAGATCCAAGATCCAATTCCTATCCTCTGCACCTAAAGTTTTCTAAAGCCTAAACCTGCATCCCAAAACCCCACAACAGTCTTATTCGATGAAAGCTTTAAGATCTGAGCTTACCTACTGAGGCTCTGGTACGACGTTGACCTTAGACCCAGGTCCTGGGTCAGAGGTGGTGACGCCGAAATCCAGACCTTTCAGCCAAAGGTCGATGGCGACTCGCAGTGCCTCACCCAAAGGGTCCTACGTACTTTCAGGGTTTAGGGTTTAGGGTTTAGGGTTTAGGGTTTAGGGCTTGTAGAATGTAGGGTTTCTACCTTAGGAATTACGATTATGATTTAGGGGAAGTATCCCCCCCGTAACCGTACTTAGGGCCCTTTGAGTATGCTGTGGGCGAATGTAGGGAGTTGTGTGCTTCAGAGACTCCGGGCTAGAGGCCTTCAGGGTTCTTGGGGTTTGCGGTTCTGGGTTCTAGGATTATAGGGTTTAGGGCTTTAGGGTTTAGGGTGTAGGGAGTTAGGGTTTATAGGGCTTTAGGGTTTAGGGGTTTAGGGTTTAGGGCTTGAAGGTGTAAGGGAGAACTATGGTTTCTGTGAGCTCAAGCACCGTCATCATGTCTCGCAGTAATCGAAACCTGCCCGAAACACTTCGCTCACAGGGAAGGCTAGGTTTCTGCGCTGAGGGGCTCTTGGGGTTTAGGGTCCCAGAGAAGTATAATGTTTTAGAGTTTCGGGGTTAGGAACTTAGCTGTGAGAGTTTAGACCTTGGCAGCAAAGGTTTCACGCTCGGTTTTAAGAGTCAAACCACAGACCGTGGTCCAGTGGCGAGGTTGTCCAACAAGTCCGAAATTGGCTTGTCATCCCGGGTCCAACAACACTTGGGTAGTGATGATAGTGGTAAACAGAGGCAAAAGAGGAACACTAGCCATAGTAATGATACTACGAATAAGAACAGCAATAATGTTATTACTACATCCTTTCAGCATACTGCATACTTCTAGTAATAAACAACAGTAGCCCTTCGAACAATGGCAACTATATTGCATTATAGCGAACATGAGTAGTGTGATACGTAACAACCGGAAAGCGAAACAGGTCTGCTCGGCGAGGCATCATGCAGTACACGTTCATCTGCGGGGCCCCGGTTAGCAACTTAACCCTTCAGGGCGCAGGGTTTCAGGTTTAGAGTTTAGGGAGTTTAGGGTTCAGGAGTCGAGGAGCAACGACCGACAGTTCTGACCAGCAGAATTGAGCAAAGAGATGATTGATGAGAGATCCATCGCATTAGAAGGCCAGGAGTTGCTTAGTTGTACTTACTCCACGACTTGTTTAATGCGGTGTGAATGTGAACGCCGGGCGTGGGCTATGCAGACCCTTGGAAACTAGGGTTCGTGGATAAACCTTAAAGAGTCAGAATTTTAGGGAAAACACAACCCTGGCCTTGGAACCTGCTATGCACGACCGACAAACGAGGGCTGATAGTACCAGCAAGACGGCACGTTCAGTAAGAGTTCCGGAGCAGGTTGTTCCCTGCAGCATCAGAGCCAGCCAAGTGCGGCCGAGAGGCGCAGCCAAGAAGGGCGAAATACCTGTACGCAACGTCTCCATAAGTACCATAGGAGGCTTCATGATTAGAATGGAGTTCTGGGGTACAGAATATTACGAGTAGAATGAGGAACACTAAGGACAAGACACTTGTCGAGACCTCCTCATAACATAAGGGTTTGAGGCTTTGGATGTCGTGCTGAGATAGCTGAATCAAGGAGGGGGAAGTTGTATGCAACCTAGAATACAGAATGGAGATGCTCTTGTGATACAGATGATACGAACGTGGGAGTCGGGACCGTGGAAGCTTTAAACAACAGCTACTTAGTCATCTTAGTCTCGTTCTGCATCTTATGAAAATACTTTTTTTAAACTATACAAGCTCGAATATTTGTGAGCTTCGATCTAGCTTAGGCAGTCTGTGCCTGGAACAGCTACACGGCCCAAGTTGACCCACCAGGACAGAAGCCAACAAAAAGCAAGGAACCTCTGCTGTAAGCGCAAGAGATCCTAAATCCCCACGTGCTGAGCTGCAAGCGCTACACCCCCCGGAAGTGCTGAACTGCAAATTCAAAACACTATCTAAAGCTGCGACATGTAAACCCGCAAACCCTCAAGGAAACCAGGCTTCGGGGGTTGCGGGATTCTGAAGTTAAGGTTTGAGGTTTGAGGCTGAAAAATCCCGAACCCGAAACCTTCGCCTAGCGATCAGCCAAGGATGGCCGAGCGTCGCCACGCAGAGGGCTGTGACCAGCTTCGAGTCGCTCTGAAAGATGGACCTGACCCTGGCGGTCTCGGGTTCCGGGGTCAGGTTTAGGGTTTAGGGTTTAGGGGTTTAGGGTTTGGGCTTGCTACCGTTTAGGGTTTTGCACGCCTTATGCTTTCTTTGGGGTTTAATGGCATGCTAGGATGTAGAGTGTACTCGGGTTTATAGGCCTTACCTACGGTGTCAAGTGTTGCGCACACTGCTGACAGATAGCGTCAGCGTTTACAGAGTTCCAGCCGGGCATGCCCAAGCTCCAAGCCTTGAAATCCTGCCCATTAAGTGCTTGTCATAAGCTTCGTACTCCGGATCGCTTAGATTCTGGAGGCTTGTGAATCAACGGTGTAGGGTTTAGGGAACTTTTGCAGCTAACTTTTGGTACCCCTAACCCCTGAATCCTAAACCTCTACCTGGAACGCTAAACCACTAAACCCTTATGTCCCGAACCCCGAACCCTAAACCCTAACACCTTAAAGCCAGAGACCTCAACACTGTAAACCCTTGCAGCCTAAACCCTTCAACCCCTAAATCACTACACCCTGAAGCATGCTTTGAAACAGTCCTTTTGCCAACACACTTCCTGTTCGGATTGTCTTACAAGACTAAACCATGCGAATCCTACCGGGTCCAACTGTTCAAGCAGAATATAATTCGGGCTTCTCCTCGGCACCTTTTTGGGACTAGGTACATGCTGCATGAGCACACCAACACCGGAAAGCCAGGCTTTAGGCTCTAGGGCGGCAGCAGCACGACTGCGGATTTATGGGTTCAGGAATTAGGACCCCTGAAAAGGAACCCAATTGTTGGCTAGTGTAGGGGCCTTAATAATCAGAATAGGGTTTTGGTGTATGTTATGCTGTAATTACCATAAGGAGCCCCCAAAATAGCATAGGTAATTATTGAGGCCCCTACATACCTTAGCCCTCCGACATCTCTTCCAAGACCTAGGGTCCGGGAGCTTTCAGCCCTTCTTCTCCCGAAGATCCAAAGCCGGACCCAACCCAAAGTCTGTGATCCAAGGTTGAAACCATGGGCCCCTCTGGTATGGGCCCTTAACCCTGGGATCCGTATAGACCTACTATATACCCTATATGTACCTTTAAGGGTCTCTAGAAAGGCCGAAGGGTCCACATTAGGGGCCCATACTTCTAACCTTAAATTTGAAGAGCACCCGCTTTGGCTATCAGATGTATTGGGGACAGTCTGTCTACACCCTAGTCCCAAACTACAGACTAATTTTGGAAAAATGCGACCCATGATGGCATCAACATGAATCGAAAACCCCTAAACCCTGAACCCTAAACCCTGAAGCCTGAACCCTGAAGCCTAATCTCTGATCTGTAGCGCTCCAAAAACGAAGGAAGCACGGACAACTCCTCGCCTCGACATCTCTGACTCGCCAATCCACGTCGCGCGAAGAGCAAGCTTGGAGTATGTCTGTAGGGTTTGTGGGTTTTGGGGTGTGGGTTTTATATGCATATCTCTGCATCCACAGACTTCTTTCTGGATCTATCTACTGATGTCATGGGCCTCGTCAGGTTGATAACGCAGCTCTAATTTGTTTGTTTGCGTTTTCCTTTTTGACTCCTGGCTCTCCAACTTGAAAGACAAGAGACGGTTTCAAGGCTTCTGTTGGCTTCGGGAGATGGGCTCATGATTCCTGTCCGGATGGCGGCAGCAAACCTTCCGAAAGGATGCTGGAGGGCCCTAAACCCTAAATCCTACCAGCGAACTCTTGTCCAATGTGTCCGTAATAAACATGAATAAACCCCAAACCCTAGACCCTCAACTCTATGAGCCCTAAAGCATGGTCTGTTGGGCGCCGAGACTTATGTGCTCTAGCAGATGGGGCCCAAGCCTTTATCCGAACAAAAGCAGCTGGGGCGAGCAAACCCTGCACTTAATGTAAGGGCCAAAATAATTAGAACAGGGTTTTAGCATCCTTTATAGTATAGTTATAGATCCCCCAAAATAGTATAGGTAATTATGGAAGCCGTTATATTACGCTTAGGCTTTTCGAGATTAGGGCTGAGGGAGAGGGGGTGGTAGGGTTTGGGGCCTACAGGGTCCGGGTTGAGGCCTATTTTTTTAGAGAACTACCCGTATATAGAAACCATAGCAAGGAACCCTAAAAAGGTAGGTTTAGCTTTAGGATTTAAGTCTGCAAGCGAACTGCTTCAGAATTTGGAGCCAAATTTGGGCATGTAGCGTCTCGTGCTCTTTCTGAACTGAGATATGGCAGAGGTGCGTCGCAGACCTCCTAGATTCTTAGATGCTATTCCCTAAACTGCTTGAGGGTTTAATAGGGCGCTTCTTCAGGCTTCAACGTTGACTGGACGGTGCCATGGTGAGAGACTGTTGGGTGTTCATGTTCGTAGCACAACAACTAGAAAATGAGGTGTTCGCATGGGTATGTTTCGCATGGGTATGTACATTAAGGGATTCTCGTCGAATTGGACCTCAGACGTGATCCTTTGGCTTTGTAGCAAACCCCGCCCCAATGCAAGCCTAAACTGCAGCAGCTAGTCCGACATGTCAGGCTTGAAGGCATGAAGTCTCCCAGAGTCAAATGGACAATGCTGCTCAACTCAAACTAAACACTGAACCCCGAAACCTAAAGCCCGGTCCCATAAATCCGGAACCTTGAACACCGAAACCCAAAGCTTGCACCCTATCTCTAAAAATGCCTGTAAACCCAAAAGCCTTTTGCTTCCAGCGCAGAGAGCACTCGTGTGTTCCACTGGTCAGAGATGAGTGTCTCGGTCCCTCTGCGCATGAAGGGATGCTCGCCTCGACGACTGTTCACATTGGGGCCTCGAGGTTATCTGACAAGTTGAGCCTTGTTGAGTGCAAGGCTTGTTTTTGTTTTCAGGTTTTGGGGTTAAACATTTAGGGTTTAGGGTCAGTTTTAGGGCTTGGGGGGTAGAGCATCTAGGTTAAGGGTGTTCATGCTTGGAGGCTTGGAGAGTAGAGAGTTTAGGTTGTAGCTTTCTGGGTTTGAGGTTGGCTATCCTTAAGCAGGAACCCTACTTGAAATAAATAAAACCTCACAAACTATAGTTTTATTATAGACTGCTACCACATACCTGAACGCACACAAAGTCTTTGTGCGACCTGGCAAAGAAAAGGGGAAACCTGGAAAGCCTGACATAAACCCTCAACCCTACTCCCGAAACCCAAAACCCCTGAACCCTTGTCTCTAAACCCTATATAGAATGTAGGGGCCTTAAACATCAGAATAGGGTTTGGCGGGGCTCCCTTTTAGAAGTATAGTATACCCTGTTCGCATTATTATTAAGGCCCCTATATTACACCCCTACCTGGACCCTAAGGAATCTACCTGTTTAAGGACTTATCTAAGCAAAGCATCATAAGGAACCCTGAAAAGGTAGGTTCCTCGGAGTCCAGGATAACCCTAAAACCCTCCAGTCTCATTCCGCCAGCCTCGCTGAGCTCAGGCGTCCACTTCCTTCTTCTCCGCCACGGCGGTCTCAACCTTTACCCGACAAGCCCTAAGCCCTTTCAAGCATGTGGGGTTGAGTGTCCGCCCTAAACCCGGTTAAGCTATAAGTCCTATAAGCTCCTATATGACTCCGAAGGGGCTTGAATTTCTACGGAGGGGTCCTTGCGCGATTCGGGCGATTCAAGTCCAGGGAAAGCAGTGGGGCCAAGGCTCGGAGGGCCTTTGGCTGTAGAGCTCAGGGTTGGGTTTCGGTTTCAAGGCTTTTCTGGGTTTAGGACTAGGACTAGGATGTTTAGGTTTCAAGTTTGGGGGGGCTGTCGGGTTCAGGGTTTATCAGGCTGTGGGTGTGTATGGTTTACCGTTCGTAAGCACACATGGGGTGTAGGTGAGATCCAGACTTAGTGTTTGGTAATTTAGGGTTTGGGGCTTAGGCTTCCGGCGAGGAACAAAGATTGTCCCGTACCCCTGGATGCTCCAGCACAGCAGTGACAGTTTCTGCAATCCGTCAGACAAACAGAAACAGAAACAATGGAAACATCGCCACCACCCTGAACATACCTCCTCGTTCTGCGGATAACGGAAGAAGTCTGCCCACGGCAAAATCGGTTCACTAGTACCCATGGCAAAAAACTCATTCAACACATGTCAGCTTGACCCTTAAACATCTCCCAAATCCTCTCCCCGGCTCAGAAGCAGTCATATCTTAGATCACTTCACACTTGTTCCTGTCAGACTTCCCAACACTAAACCAGCGGACCCATCCCAGAAAAACTCCAGCAGACAGCAAAGGTGTTAAGCCCTTTCAACCCTCGATGTAAAACCCTTTCCGTCAGTCGCCGACAGTAGCTCCTTGCCCCCACAAACCCAAGCACGCCTCATACTATGAGATCCAACGTCTTTCAGTCCAATTGTGTAAGGACAACTCCATATACTCAGTAAATATGCAGGGCATTGAGAAACCCTCAATCGAAAACCTGTGCCTTCCTAAACCCAAGGCCCTGGCCCTACACCAGAACCTCAAAACTCTCCTTTGGCAGAAAGGTCCAAAACTATTGTACTGGCTTCTCCTAGACCATCTCTAAGAGAGGACCTGAGCTCTAAGCCTACATGAGCCTAAAGCCGTACCCTCTCCCCTTCCCCCCACCCCTTCCCCCCTTCCCATGGGTTTGGAGTGGGCCTCATGGGTCACCATGAAGACGCCGGCAGCAGCCGCCGCACCCATCAGCTCCAGGGCAGAGTAAATGAAAGCCTCAAGAACGCAAAGTTTAGGCCCTAAGCTAAGCCCTAAACCCCAAACCCTGCAACACTAAACCCTAAACCCCAACCCTAAACCCGAACCCTAAACCCTGGGCTGTTGCAGGGCCAACCTGAAGCCTAAGGAGCTACCTTGTTAGGTTTCCTTATTCTGCTGTCCTTATGTAAACCCTTCGAAAAGTAAATTCGTTAGGGTCCAGGTAGGGGTGTGTGTATGTGTGTATATATATATGCATATATATATATGTAGATATAGATATAGGGTGTCTTTAAAAGGTAAGGTTTTAAGGCAAGTAGTTCTGACTTCTATAGGCCGTGTTGTTAACCTTCGAAATTCTCTGAGGCTCCTAATAAGAGGGCATGCCTTAAATTCTAAACCCCGAGACGATTAAGACCCGAAGCACCAAATCCTCGCATCGATTCCCCAGGCTCCAGAACCCACCCTAAACCCTAAACGCAAGCCATAAACCCTGTTATCCAGATGACTCAGGAGCTAGGTGTCACACACGCCCAGATGGTCTGCAAACCGCTAGCACAATTCCCATATACATATATATATATATATATATATATATATTTATTTACATACATATACATATATATATATATATATACACATATCTATATGTATATTTGTTTATTTACTTATCTATATATATATATATATATATATATTGTTTTTTATGTGTTTAATTGCTTAGTTATGTGTTTTTGTATTTATTTGTCGATAAGAACCTAAGGCCTCAAGCCTAGCCCGGAGCCTTCAGCCCCACATGGTTCAGGACCCGTGGCTAAGCTTGCTTCTGTGTTTGATTGCCACCGGTGAAAACCCTAAACCCTAAACCCTAAACCCTAAACCCTGGGCACTCAGCCTCTGATTTTCAATCGCCTTACAGGGAGGAAGGCTCTAGGTTGCACCAACCCTAAACCCAAACATGCAGGGGTCGTCACATTCCAGGCCCAAGTAAAGTGATTACGGTGTACATTTCTGGTATTCTCAAAACAACGCCACAAGCCAACAGCCACCGATTTTTTCAACAGAAGCCCTATGCAAGCCTATATACACTCACCCAGATTCCTGGTATGTACCGAATCGAGCAAACCCTCAGCTGAATACTAAACACACCGGGAACAAGAAAAGACTAGGTAAGTGGGGGCCGGATACAAGATACGATCATAAACGATACAGGAATACACGATGAGGTAAGGCAACGTATCACTAAGATGCAGGGATATATATATATATATATATACATACATACATACATACATATTTATACATGGTGATGTATGAAAACTGAGACCATGCGCAAGACTAACCAAAACACACCTAATCTATCAATGACGGTGGACACAAAGACGAACTCACCACCGATGCACATACAAAGTCTCATAGTAAGCATGTAAAGGTGAGTGCAGGCGCGCAGATTATGTCCATCTAGACATGAGAACCCAGATAGGACAAAGGATGTCATTAACCTAATACCTTCTAAAGCACTAAAGTTGAACACCCGGATGCGACAAAGGAGCACATTGACGTCATGCCGTTTGAGTTAGACACTACAACATGACTGCTTTGTAACCTCGATCCAAACCCAAACCCTAAACCCTGATTGTAGAACTCTTATGTCGGAGACCCTTAAACAATCCTCAGGGTCCATGTGCCCAAACAGTAGATACTTTGGCCTTAAAATACTTTGGGGCCAAAGTATATACTATTTGGGCATATGGGTAGTTGTCAAAATTAGGGTCCCTTTTGGGGTACCCTAAATAATAGGTGCCGTATTATAATTTTGACAACCACTCATATGGACCCTTAGGGTAAGGAACCCGTCGCTGCCTTGTAGAACACGCCACCGTTGAGGATGTTGGCCGCAGCAATGCCAAACCTGATCCCGAGCCGCTCTCCGGCAGTTTGGGAATTGGAAAATTAGGATTAGGGATTCCGACTAGGGGCTCAAGGATTAGAGTTTAGGGCTTCATTTCATGTCTATATAATCCAAAATTCTGCGGTTCAAGATGTGGCAGGCGGCAATGCCGAGCCTCTACGTGTGCTTGGCTCACTCTATTCTTCTTATGTCATTCCAGTGCAGGCATGCGTAATGCACGTAAGACAGGGATGCGCTTGAGACTTTGATATGTGGTAGGC